CGCGAGTAGGAGCGCGAGCGGGAGGAACCTGAGCGCGACTTGGAGTAGGTGTACGAGCTTCTAGAGTAAGACGAAGCACTATAGGGAGACTTGGACCTTAAAAAAACACACAGAGAAATAAACGAAGTTAATTCCAAACAGTCATTCTCCCCTTTTTATGCCTCCCACATTTATTTTTATTTTCCTCTCCACATGCTTATGTCAAAGTTTCTTTCAGCTGCTGACACAAAGCTACTGCAAATTGAAGAACCTGATAGCATGGAAAAGTTTCTGCTCACGAGACAGAACAGCTGCTGCTTTGTTAGTGTCAAACCACACAGAAGGGTCAGTCTACTTCTACTCACTCTACCACAGGAGCTCCCAGAGCTAGGGATGGATTTGAGGTGGTTACACTGGCCTCTACTGGTATGGGAATGCGCACATCCGTCACTACTCCGCAACTACATGCAGTGCAAATCGTTTTTGTTGCAATAAGATGCAAAACGAGCGAGTCTGAGTGGCTACAGTGCAGAATCAAACATCAAGAAACACCACTTAGCCTGAAGACAGCAAAGCCCAGTGTAAAATTTCCAGCTAGGTCTAGTTAACTTCACCCTTCTCTGGGAATTTGGACAGGACGCACAATCCTGGTACAGCAACGGGACAGACAGGCCTGTGGAATCCACACGGCCATGCAGGTGTCCCAGCAAAGTCCTGCACACCCCTCCAGCTCTAAGCAGGGCTGGTCACCAAATCGCAAGAAAAATCCTATCTAAAAGCTTCTGAACTCATCCTCCAGTCCCTGCGTCAGTGCCGTGGCTCTGGGCAAGCTGCTGACAGCACTGCTAACAGCTGCTCAGACTCCTGCCCAAGGGGGTTTGGGGACAGAAAACATCAGCTACCTCATGATTTTCTTTGCAAGTTTTTCTTTTCCTATTTGTTAAAGAACCATTTCACATGATTCTGCACATGTTCATTAGCATCATTCTTCCTCTCCAAGTCCCTCACCATTTCAGACTTCCTTACAAACAAGTCTGAGCTTTTAATTCTCAAGAAAAATTTAACAAGGTCAACAAACTACTAGAGAAAAACACTAGTCTGCAGTCCAGGTTCAAATTTCCCATGTATCCACACGAGACAGACAACAGAGGAAACGGGGATGATTTCTCTTACATTATCTCCTCCAAAGCACTTGCAGGAGATAGGGAATAGGGAGACATAAAAAAATCCAGCCTCTAAAGCTATTCCATCCCTGGCCTCCTCAGGGCTGTCACTGCAGACACCTCAGTAAGAGAGACCCTGCTCCCTAGTGCCTGCTGCCCAGTGCTAGCTCAGTCACCTGCAGTCTCTGCCACACTGGAGCCAATAACCTGCATATGACACTCCTGTCACTGCTAATCCCTCAATCATCCAATCCATCTAATGACAGGGAGGTGGAGTGGAACTCCTCCTGATTCCTCTAGACAATCTGCTTCTCCATTACGGACATGTAAAGCAGTTACCTGGAAAACGAACGCCTACGCTCCTTTTGAATCTTTTTATATTCCATCAATTCCTTAGCAAAATCATTTGTAAACTCATCAAGTTTGGACTTTTTCTTTTCCCTGTTAAAATAAGTTTGACCTTTATTACAATTATAGTTTGACCTTTATTACAAAAGACATCAAGAAACAAAACATGGCCAATACGAGAAAATGTTTACTGCATGCAATGCAAAAGGTGAACATCCTATGTAAGCAAAAACAGTTCCTACAAGTCTTAGGGAAAGTTTTAGAATTACATTTGTCTTGGTTTAGCTTTGCATATTTACTATCTGCAATGAAAAGTCTATTGGAAGAAACACTACGTCATTTTTGCTTAGGACAGATGCACTTTAGTGTAACCGCAGTCCGATCCGCTCCCCCGACACAGACACGCAAACAGGCACCATTAGTGAGCCGAGTACTTACTCCTCTTTAAGCCTCCGCTGCTCTCTGTAAAACTCCTCCCTAGAGAGAGGAGGTGCTTGTGTCGTTGGGATGGTGTTTGAATGAGCTGCTGGCACTGCTGTTGGGACCCAAGCTGATGACATGTTTGCAGGAGCTGGGGGATATCCAGGAGGGGGAACAGAGTACCCAGCGGACGGAGGTTGCCCAGGTGGAAACTGAGGAGGAAACTGTGGTGGTGGTACCCCCGGAGGAAGAGGAAGTGCATGGGGTGGTGGAGGATACAAGGGAGGTGGAGGCACAGGCACAAAGACTGGTGCAGATGCTGGCAGTGACGGGGCCTGAGTCCTTTGGGCACGGTCACTGTGCGGGCGTCCTCGATTTGAACTTTAAAGAAACCCAAAAACATGTGTCACCGTTTGTCACCCCCAGCCCTGAGCCCACAGCGGACAGCGAAGCGGCAGCGCGGCGAGCACTCCTGGTTCTCTCTGTTCTCTGGCTTCCTGCTCACTGGAGACTACACTCAGCTCTGGATCCTCATACTTGCCTTCCACACCCTGGCCCCAGCAGCTCTCTCAGCTTCATCTCCGCACACCCAGCTTCGGATGCAGCTGCCCGTGAGACCCCCATCTCCCACAAGCCAAGCGCCCACTGCTCCTCTGCCCCTCCTGGATACACGTTGTGCTCCCCTCCTGCACCTCCAAGCGCTGTGCAGGTGTTAACTCAGCTCAAAGCTCTCCCACACACACCTCCTGCCTCACCAGGTACTTGGCTGTTCTTGTCCCTGAGCTGTTACTCCCTTGTTCACTGAATCTGAGATTTGAGATAGTCTGTGGGATGGATCCTGGAGTTTGTTTTGATTTGTCGTTAAGACTTTACAACACAATGGCCCTCACAATGTGGCCATAACAAAGGAAGGAGTGATATGACACTGCAGTAACAAACAGGCTCCTCTCTCCAATGAGGGAGAGCTTGACTCTTTGAGATGGCTCAACTGAAGAAGTATAAAACTGCCATAAACTAACAGCCTGGCTTTTCCAATAATTTGCTCAATCAGTATCAACTAAGTTGTTAAAGAAAGAATGTTGGAGGCTGATTTCTACTGGGAAATCAATTCCTTCAGCCCTATTCAGCCAGTACTCAGAAGGGTGGCATTCCATCTGATCTTTTAATTACATTTAATTCTTATATTTAATTATGGTTTTCTCAAAAAACGTTCATTATTCAGAGTCTTCTTTTCAATTACGTACCAGAGTTTTGTTTTTAAATAATCCTACTGGAACACAGATCCCCTTTGTTAAAGCTAATTCAAATGAAGCCACTTGAAAATTAATTACCACCCATATTCTCCACAACTGTCATTGCATTTTAAATCAGCTGTTGCCTAAGTGACTTGTTACAGCCCAATTTAACAGGTTACAACCAGTAATAAACTGAGTTTCTGTGGAATACTTACAGCTCCCAGCCTGGCCTGCGAAGGGCACCAGCTCTCATTGGATGACCTGTTGCAGCAGGGAGAGGAAAAAGAAAGTAAATTCCCAATCAGTTCACCTGAAGATAATGTTTCAGAAGAAATTCTAAAGTTCTGGTTCCTTACCAGTTGTGGGTATTGATTGTCCTTGAGGGCCCAGAAGACTTGGTAATGCTGGTTGTCTCAGTACAGGAACCTGATAGCCCTTGGGGACAAACGCAAACAGTCAGAAAACAAACTCTAGCAGCACCCAATAATTACTGCACATGCTAAAATAAGATTTACCTTCTCTTCCAACAAACTGGTGATTGACAAAGGGGAAGGTTTGGAAAGATCAGCAGACATCAGAGAAGGAGGCAAAACGGCATCGGCATCGCTGCAAAAACCACATGGTTTTGTTACTCAAACACTGCTTTGAAGCGACAAACGTATTTTGAAATAGAAACCAAGGTGAGAAAAGGCTGACTTCTGTAAATGAGAACAAATCATGAACAATCTTCCCCAGATTTACACCTGTGAAGTTGTCAGGCTCTAGAGGAGGCACTGCCAAGGGGTGTGTTTGGATACTGCACTTACAGAGGAAGCTCTCTGCAAAAATATGTGATTAAGCTACACTTGAAAGGATGAGAGTCTGTATAACCCACGCACTGCGCCTCAGCTCTGGAGCATGCAAGCAGTGAAATTCCATTGGCAAATGTTTCAGTGCTGGTTCGGGGCCTGCCTTAGAGGGAACTGTGACCCACAGGTTGATGGCACAGCAGAGCACTCTGGACCCTGTGGCTACAGGCCTCCAAGGCAGCAAGGTCGAAAGAGATAACCCTAAACAATGGTACAGATTTTTGCATGAAAATAGAATTTCCTCAGTGCTGAAGAGAAATGAATGCACTAAGGTTGGACAGAACTAAATGGTCACTTCAGGACTGGCCACTCAAAATCAAAGGGTCCTGGGGAAAAACCAGTTTGTCCTTCAGGCCAAACCTGCACCGACTGACTAGTAAGGGGACCGAACAAAAGTACTGCCCACAAAATTCCTGCAAGAGATGCACATTAACTAACACAAGTGTCCTCACTCCAAGTAAAAACAAACCCCACAATTCCCTGGAGCTGTCACTAGTGATACATAAGCTCCTAGCTGGGAAGCTGAAGAAGAATCTAACTTAAGCATTTTGGCCTTTCAAATCTCCAGCTTTCCTTACCGGAAAGGTCCGTCTGGCTTTTCCCCACGGAGAGACAGGGACACTGCTGGAGGGAGATCAGAGACAACCACGGACGACGGATTGACGGGCAGCCCAGCTGCCACGGACGGCCCAGGGCCCAAGGAGGAGAGGGCGGAGCGGGAGGCCAGGGAAGCCAGCGGGATCATGAGCGGGTCCTGCTGCCTGGCCAGGGCCGGGCGCATCAGCGGCTGCAGGTTGCGCGTTATGGTTTGCCTCATAAGTG